CTACACTCAACCTAAAAGGCTTTAGCCCTGGTGATTTCGTTGTTTTATTAAGGTTTCACCCGGACTTTTATTGAATGACCATTTGACAAAGGTGCTGAGTATTTAATTAAGGTTGGTTGGACAGGAGGTTTTGGGGCTTGCATGGCTAAAACAAAGGGGTATGAATGTCGAAGGTGGTTGGGGTTGACTCCGTGTAGTGTGTGGGCTGTTGATTTGGTTTGTTGATGTGATGGCAGGTATGTGCTGTGAATCAGATTCTGGATTTGGTTGCCTACRATCACACATATACGTATTATCATGAGAGACCCCAGTGAGACCATGAAAAATGATCGTCACATATTTAACTCTCATATATGTATGCATGAGTATACTTGGGATAAATGTTTGCATGGGTTGGAGGGCCCCACGTTAGAGCCYCATTCAGAAGCTGAGAYTGAGGGGCTTAGAGGAGKTCTCTCCTTTTATTCTTGTCTCTTGCTTTTTTATGATTTTCTTAGTCGGACGTTTGGTCCTGGGCCGGGWTTCGAGGTCCTTGTCCAGGACATCCSAARCCCTAGGCTCTGYAGGGGAGGGTTTTTCCCTCGCGAAAAGCCTATTTGATTTGCCTACCGTGACACTCAGGTCGAGAGCCTGAGGTGCCTCGGCSGCTGCACRACTATTCCTTCAGTCGTGCAATATCGTGAAAGGTTAGGCCCTCACGACACTTCAAGTCTGRCACTTGAGTGTCATAAGCGGTACTCGAATCCACGAGGGACCGATTGATTATGGGCACTACATAGTAYGCCATCGTTGCGACTGATTGTGTACGCCTGCATTGCAAGTCGATRTGAGTATGYCCTGCGTCCGCGCGGTTTTATACCAAGTTCAGCGYGCGACGCCYATCCGATTTCCGCACTAGRAAGTTATGGGTCGGCTACCGAGGGGCTAGGAGCGTTGTYGCGTTGTTGGTATTGTGTCGTTTCGTATATATGTTTTTTTGTGTGTATGAGTGTTCGTAAAGTGGAGTGCGCGTGGTGTGTGGGAAGCGTCCTAGTCGACCGACGATGAGTCGCGCTTGGGACCTCAGCCCCCCCAAGATGTCGGTTCCCGTGCGGGTCCGATAGAGGCGTATTACCGCGCGTACCCCCTATGCTACAACGAACGAGAAACGCCCTCGGCTGGTCCACCTCTGCGATTGCAACTGATTAGCTTTCGTTTTTGTGGACTGGTAGCTCGGCGGGGATACGCCCACCGAAGGGAGGTGACAACTCCCATAAGGTGTAGGTAAGTCGTGCCTCGCGTAGGCCCTATCCTGTCGTAGGGGCTCGCGAGAGGTATGGCTGGCGCACCCGGCCGGAGCGGCTTGTGGAAGCTCCATGTATATTGCGACGAAGGGTTCTAAAAACCAACTCCTGCATGACGCGGTCGGGAGGGTCCCGCGCTGCCCCCGTGCGGTGCCGGACCGATGCGCCCGACAGGTGGCGTCGTTGCCGGGGATAACGGAAAGCCTACCGTTGTCCCTGGTGGAACGACATCCGGATATGAGAAGTGAATAAGAAAAGGCATAAAGGAGTGATGAGAAGGTAATGAAGGAATATATGAATCACTAAGTGTAGGTGAGGAAATTTACCTACCCAAGTAGAGGAAGTATGAGGGACGATCGTGTTAACAATGGGTAAAGTAAGTGCTAAGGGTTAGGTAGGACGAATGGAATAGACCGGTCAAGGTATACTGTTAAATAAGGGGGTGTACTTGTTTTCTTTTGCCAGGGAACTTAAAAAGAAAAGGCTGTCAAGATGCCTGAGACTGGCGGCGCATCAGTTGTTCCCAAGAAGGGCCTGACACTTGATGACCTCATCGCGGCCATCGACCGACATGAAAGGAACCCGAGCAACATCCCAAAGGTCGATACTTTCCATTTTTGTGGGGAGAAAGTCTCAGAATGGCTAGAGCGGGTGGAACAAGCTTTGGTCGGGCGGCCGGATGTTGTAAAGTTTCAACCCATCCTTCAGTATATCCTCCACAGCTACCATCAGGAGGTGAAGATAGTCATAGATGTGGCTCAAGGTAGCTGGGAGAGGTTTAAAGAGGGGATGCAGAGGAAATACCGCCTGGGAGATGGGTTGTTGACTACCACGGACCTTGAAGCGATGAACAATGAGGATTTTACGACTATAGGGGCCTTTGTTCAAGAATTTAAGAAGAGGGCGCGGAAGGTCCATGGGATTTCGAAGGAAGCACAGTCCGCCATCTTCCTGGGGCTACTCACAGCATCGGAGGCCGTCGAATTGACGAGACATAGAGGAGGTAGCACTAAGCTCACCTGGGCCACCATTGACAGAGGGGTGGAAGTTGGGTGTTTGGACCAGGTGGAACAACGTCAGGTACGCCTGCAAAGGCAGAAGAGAAAGGAAAGAGATGCGACCGCTTCTGGGACCCCGGGAGTAACAAGGATTGTGACAGACGTATTGGCACAGCTACGGTATGCGACAGAGCCAGTGGTGCAAAGAAGGGTGGTGACGGCTGTCAAAGTAAAAGGAAAAAAGCCAGTGATAGAGGAGGCTGGCCAGGAGGAGCTCTGGGAAGAGGAAGAGCCAGTGCCGCAACACCTGACGAAGGTCCAGCGCAAAGTGCGTAAT